GACCTTATTCTTTCTCATAGTGATATTTTTTTGGGCATAGTGCCCACAGTTGTTTTCCTCATCTTGAGGTTTTTACTATGTCAACATATCATGTTTTTGGGTTATTCCTTAGACCGGGTACAACTTCAACTCCTTATGAGCTTTGGAAAGAGAGAAAACCTAACATAAAGCACATGAGGGTTTTTGGCAGCATTTGTTATATTTATAGAGATAGAGAAAACCTAGCAAAGTTTGATACAAGAAGTGATATTGGCATCTTTTTGGGTTATTCTCTCGGGTAATGCTAGGGACACCAAATTTGAGTCCCAAATGACATGTCATTAATTTTAAATAATTAAATTGCCACATGTATTAAAAGGTAATTTTTCATTTGATATAATAATTATGAAGAAAAAAAAAATACATGTAACCTAAAACCCCCAAATATTGATTGTGTTATCAAACCACCAAAGCACCACCATATTCCCAACCATCTAATCTCCAGGCTCATGGCCGTCTCATCATGCATAATGGAATTGGAGATGGGCTGTCTCAGTTCTCATTCTGCTACGTCACCAGGTTGCTAATATACCTATATACATGGTCATAGTTCCAAATGAATAGAAGATGGGGCTGCTTGGCGTAGAAGCTGAAAAATTGCAAGCTTTAATCGCCTTCACCCAAATGAACAAGTCCTACAACAACATATGGCAAAACCCATAAATTTTGTATGAAGAGGGTAAATAAAATATGAAGAACTTTTAATTCAATATGGTTGCTATAGATACGGTGTGGTAGAGAAGTGGAGTAGCAAGTCTAGTGATGGTGGGAACGATGGTATGACGGCAAGCTTGGTCGTTTAGGATTAGAAGTAGGGTTTTGATTAATTAAGTTTTAAGTTTTATAATTTTTCTTTGTAAAACAAAATTTACTAAGGAAAATGCTAGAGGCAGAGGCGGACCTACAGAGGCGCAAGGAGGTGCATATGCACCTCCCCTCGCCGGAAAGAGCTTTGGAGGTTGTGGAATTTGCCCCTCAGCTCTGCCATGGAAGTGCCCACAATCTGCTCGAGGAAATGCCTCTGTGAAACTGCTTTCTCTTTGCTGTGATGCTGTGTTGTTGGGCTCTTGCGCGCAGCACAGCCCGCGTGCTTTTTTTTTTTAAAGTCCCTGGCCAAAACGACGTCGTTTTGGACCAGGGCAATGAAAAAAAAATAGGGATAAACCTACGGATAGGAACCCATTGCCAAAATACAACTAATATTATTAATAATTTAATATAAAGAGAGTCCACATTCACTCCATTTAAATTGAATTGAAGAAGTCAACAGACCCAAATTGCAATCGCAAGGTCTGTTTTTTTTTTTTTTTTTTTTCCTTTTGATCTTTTTTTCTTCTGGGTTTTTATTTCTAATTTTTTTTTATAATATGTTTTTTTATAATAATTTTTTTTTATGTGGCTCTCTCTATAATTTTTTAATTATAAAGTTATGAAACAGTACTAGTAATCTTCAATCGAATATTACCCCTTCTCTGAAAAATTCTTGGGTCCGCCACTGGCTAGAGGCACCAACTTTGGGCACCACCTCTCTAAGTTTTAAGTTTTATAATTTTTCTTTGTAAAACAAAATTTACTAAGGAAAATGCTAGAGGCACCAACTTTGGGCACCACCTCTCTAATTAAGTTTTAAGTTTTATAATTTTTCTTTGTAAAACAAAATTTACTAAGGAAAATGCTAGAGGCACCAACTTTGGGCACCACCTCTCTAATAGAGCGTGGGACCCGTTGTATTGGCAAGCTCCACCTCTATTAGAGAATTCTATCAACTACATGTTGTGAAGGAAGCAATTGGACCAGACTATGCTGTGAGAGCAGTCACTTGATAATATGCAAATGCTCAAATCTATTCTCTTAATTGACATTTTACTTGTAACTCTGGCTACCCAAAATGAGATTTGTGTTCATAAACATCTTCTCATACTTGGATAAGGGTTCATGACTTTCCTTTATTGCCTTTTGCAGCAATGAGCAGGATGTTAATTCTCAGAGGCTGGCCGTTTTCTGCTGGTAAAATGTAAACAAGAACAAGCAGGTAATTATGACCTTCATCTGTTGATGAATTCAATTAATTTTTCTTTTGATGGTCATACGAGGAACCCCATATCATGACTATATTTTCTGTATTTGATGAGTATCAGAGATAAGTATTTATGGAGTCTGCTCTTATAATTGTCCCTCATCATTTCTAAATTTTAAATTTTGTTTCCTCTTAAAGATATTCAAATAACATGCCTACAATTTATAAATGGTTATTTTGTTGTTTTCTATGACTGTTAACTGAATGAGTCATTATGCCGAATTACGGATCTCAATTAGATTGCAGATTTGGGGTTTTTTTTTCAGGTAAAGAAATTATATCATTCAACAAAACGACAGTTTATGTTAGAATTATGTGGTTAATTTGCAAGATTTAGCAGAACCCTCACAATCCAATAGACTTTTGATCTAAATTGACCGTGTCGTTGAAACTTGTACTCATCCATCCCCCAACAAATATTTTTTTTTTCTTGTCATATTTCTCTTGTGATCATGACACTTGTATTGATTTTCATTTCTTTGTTCTATTCATTTTAACTTGATAATTCTGGTAACAATATAGTTCCTTTTTAGATGAGTGACAATGTATCCTGACCAAAAAAGACTAGTCATATATGCTAGTGTTTGGAGCCAAGCTATAGACTTATGCTATTTTTGTTCCATTTTCTTACTTTTATGTATGCCAAAATTTCCTTAGGTGTGTGTGTTGGCTTACTTTTATCCAGCTCAACATCTCCAATTATATTTCCAAACAAGAAATTTGTCGTGTGATTCTCACTGTTCTGCCATGTGGCATGGAGATTGAAGGAACACAGCTGCTACCATTCAAAACATACTGATAGGGGTCTACTTGAGAGTGTATAAGTATTATTATCAGTTACCAAAGATTAGCAATTACCATATTTGAAAAGAATTATTGATTAAAAACAGGAATTTCTTTTCAATACTTTTTATTTATTTATATATTTCCCTGAAGTTGTCCATAAGAAACTTTTAATAAGCCTATTGCAGTAATTGCATACTGCATGCAATGGAACAGATCTGGGTTAGGCACCTGAGTTTCTTTTTTCGTTTCGGATTTTCCTAGTTAGGGCACTGATGAATCCATTTTTTTAATTGATTGTTTCTATCTGGAAAAGGGAATTGATTTCATTGTCTCAGCCAACCAGTCCGGCTGCATTAACGGATCCCGGGGCTATGCTAGCCGGTCTTCTGTGACAAAGTGAAGATGATATGTGAGGATTTGTTCATTATACACTCGTAAATCTGATTTATACAACCTACCCAACGGTATCTCTCTCCCAAAGTTCAAGAGGTGGATAACGAAAATCCCGATGCAAGGGCTGGTGGAATCAAGTGTGAGCTAATTTGTGCGGACGGCTTAGTGTTTGAGTGGATCTCTCCATGGGTTGGTCGGGGTTTTCAAATTCTTTCTGTACAATGCAATTGTGCCTAAGTGAGAAGTTTTCTCGGTTTTGGGGTGAGGGTATTTTTATTTCTTTTTCTTTTTCTTCTTCTTTCACATTTTTTCCCCTCCCAATTTCAGTGGATTGGTTTCTGTAGTTACACAGTACTTGACAGAACAGAATGTAAGATATTGGCAGCATGAAGTAGATTAGTTGTAATATTTTGTATTTGGTTGTTAATGCATGAATATGTTTTCAATAAGAAAATTGATTGGTTGTTAATGCATGAATATGTTCTCTCATTCAAACCCTCTAACATGGTGTCCAAGAAACTGTAATCAGTTTGACAGTGCATCTGCTATCATATTTGCTTATCGATAAATATGACCAATTCAAACTTCTTGAAGTAATTCATATCCACTAGTGTCCACTATAATAATGTACAGAGTGATTAGAGATGGATTAGCCATATTTTTTTTGCGCCTTTCCAATTGTCATCATTATTTGGAGTGATGGGGTGAGAAAGTGAAAGGCATATTTCTTTTCCCCACAATAGTTTGCCGCCACCCCCCCACCCCCAAATAGTTTGGCACTACAAATCTGAGGACCCACACCCCCCCCCCCCAAATAGTTTGGCACCACAGATCTGAGGACCGCGTTCGTTATGCATTGAAATTATACACGACAAAAATCAATGTGCAAAGGATTTATAATTTAAGTGGTTAAGATCAATTGAGACCACCTTCAAAGTGGTGGCAAGTGTGGCAAGTGCGCCTCCCACTTAATTAATGATTTTATTTATTAGATCAGTATTTTTCTGTTAAATTATTTATAGAAAAAAGAAGCCTGTTGCATTATAAAAAGGGGAAGAGGGCTTAGTGTACATATTGTCAATGTAAACTAGAATCTGAAAGCAAAGCACAATGGTTGAAACCCGTCCAAGACTTCTTGTTGAGTATATGCTCCTCAGTTTCCTCCTTTGGCAGTTTGGTTTTAGGCATGGATCTTCCGATACAACTACTTTGTTGGATCCTAATGAAGGCATACGACTGTTTTGTTTCTCATCCCTCTCTCTTTTTATTCTCATTTCTCTCATTTTGAATTAATAAATATTTTGTTATGAGAGCTACTTAAGAACGAAAAATATGCTTGAGTATTGAGCCCAAATTCAACAAAAAATTGAAAGATGTGACATATTCATTGTTGTTTATGCTATTCTCATATTGAAGTACCAGAGACATTTCCACTGTTTTTGTTTTTTGAATATATTTTCTAAGTTACTGGAGGCATTCTCGGATCTTGAAAATGCAAATTCGTTTCTCGTTTTCATTTTTTGAAAATGTATTGCGAAAATGTTACCAGACGACTCTTATTTTGCTGATAATACATACATGCACGTGGACTCATTTTAGTCTTGCTTTAATTCACAATCCTTGATGCTACAGCTCGAGTTTGAGATATTAAGATTCAATAACTCTCTCTCTCTCTCCCTCTCTCGCAGTGGACGTCCTCAATTTGATGGTAGATAAGTTACAGTATAACAGGGCATTATACTTGAATAGCTCAAGTTGCCATTATCCAGACTCGGATACTAACAATTTGAAGATCAAGTGCACAGTGGACTGTGTACATGACAAAAACAGACATTGCCATGTCAAGGAGTTGTAAGTCACAATAAAATTAATTCTAACAATAATTTTATTGTTATTTGTCTAACTTTTAATTCTAACAATAATTTTTCTCAAATGATTTGTGTTGCAGTTCCTTTACCGGCGCGGCTTTAACTGGTTCTATACCTAAAGAAGTGGAGGAGCTTAAGCATTTGGAGAAGCTGTAATTATTTCATATCATTATTCCAACAAGTTATAAATAAATAAAAGGAGTTCAGAGAATTGAAATTTTTTTTATAAAAAAAGATTCAGAAAACTTGTCTTTTCCAGTTCTTTTGGTGCGGGAGCTTAGATATTTTACATCTTTCTTTTTAAAAAACAGTCTTTCAACCGATCCCTTCTATATTAATTGTCACGAAATATATACAATTGAATTTCTTATTTATTAGTTGATTCTGTATACTTCTATGCCAAATGATTGATTATATGATGCCTCACTTAAACAGTGATTTATCCAGCAATAAGCTTACCGGTTCCATTCCTGATACCTTGTGGAATTTGTCATCCCTGGAACTATTGTAAGTGTATATACATAAATATAGATAAGGACTTGAGGGCCAGACCTTACCTCAAAACATATACATATTTATTGAATTTATATGAATGTATATTAATTAAGTTTTCATATATTCAGAGACCTTTCAAGAAATCAACTGACAGAAGGCATATCAGAGCGCATAGGACACTTACGCAATCTTACTATTCTGTAAGTATATATTCAATATTGATTTCTTTTTTTTTCTTTTTTGCTTTGGATACAAGGGAGACCAACAACTACTATAACTCACATCAATTGAGTGTGGGGATAAATCTTTCCCAACTACTTCACAGCTCCTTTTCGGGTATTTAGCCCTTAAATTTGAGATTTCTCCAAATCTTTTTTTAATCAAATTAAAGCAGGTACTGTACACCAACAACTACTATAACTCACATCACTACAATGAAGCATAATTTCAAATAACGCCTATAAACTGAAAATAACTAAATCCCTATAACACCTATGCCTAAATGAACCCCACCAACGCATCTAGCCTTTAAGTCAATGCAAAAGCTCTAAAAGATATGGGAAAACCACATTTCCAACGATCCAACTACGAATAACAGCAAACAACTATGCCAATAGAACAAATTTGACAAAAACCAAACTCCTTCAAATTCGAGGTAGAATTAAATTTAGACAGTTTTGAAAAATAATTTGATTAAGGAATTAACCCAAAAGAAGTTGTGGAGAACTTCGAATTGAATATGGCTTAGAAGAAATCATTACAAAAGGTTTCTTATTCAAAACGCCCGAATAGACTTATTTACTAACTCCTATATAAAAAAAGGTAAAAGAAGAGAGGAGAAGGGAAGAGGGGCAGTGATGCTTCCTCTCCCCCTCTATTGAGTTTTTTCTTTGGGATTTAGAGAAAGTGAATCAAGGAATGTACAACATCAACTGTTAAGTCAGACTTATTATTGTTTTGGTCATTGCAGTTTGTCTATGAATTTCTAATAGGTGAGGAGTGTGGAATTGGCATGTGTACTTCCCCAAACCTTCTTTTTTCTGTTTTTAAGGGAAAATCTATTGACAGAATTTAAGGTTCTTTTTACCAAAAAGAAGAGAAGAATTCAAGGTTTAAATACATCGGTTCAATTAACTTCTTCTTCTTTTTTCTTACATGGGCTGACTTTCTATCTAATCTTGAATTCTATATTGTAATTTGTATATATCTATATCTAAATTCAGTATTTCTTACAACTCGGCTTAACTCGACTTTAAGTTTACTCTGTTTCTACCCCTCTCTCCGAGCTTTAACAAGGTAACATCTAATAACTTAGCTCCATTATTTTCCGGCCAAAAAGCTATCTGGATCACAACTTCCTCAGCGGACAGATACCATCATCTTTGGGTGCACTGAGTTCTCTGCAACTATTGTAAGTAAACTTTCTGCAACTTTTTGTTTTCACCATTGCACTTGATTCTTCGACTTTCTTTGACTTGATATGATCAGTTGGTTCCTTTGTATAACATTTCAAATTCTTCTTTATAATCTGTGAGTTTTGCAGGTCTCTGTATTATAATAACTTGTCAGGTCCAATTCCCGACCAATTAGGAAACATCACAGCCCTTCAAACATTGTGAGTTCTTTGCTCACCTTTGTTGCACCTTATGAACACGCTCTCTCTCTCTCTCTATCCATCACACACACACACACATACGGCGAGAGAAATTATGTAAGCTTCTTTCAAACAAATATCTGAATTCGTCTTCCTTTTTTTTCTCTCTGCTTTGAGATATTTGGATCAGAATCGACTCTCTGGTCGTCTACTATCACTTAGAAATTTGAGCAATCTCGAAGACTTGTAAGCTTCTTTCAAACAAAGTTACATATATATATATATATATATATCATGAGAAAAGAAGGAGAAAATTTTGGCACTTAAATCTGTACTGGGATTACATTCTTTTGTTCTCATGTTGTGGAAGCTGGGCGGGATCCAATGATCTTACTGGGGAATTCCCGGATTATGCCAATCTTACTCAGATGAGCGTATTGTAAGTGTTTCTCATTTAATAATGTCAGAGTCATCAAATTTGCTTACCAAATGTTATCTCGATGCACATCTTTAGTATTTTGTTGGAAATAAATGGGTCAATAGTGGACCCAAATTTGAATAAATGAAACACGGCCACGTCATTTGAGGAAAAAAATTTGGTAAAGGAATTTGGTGACTGCAGCAGGATTCTTCTTTATTTAATGTTCTTGATGCCTGCAATCTACAGTAAGGTGAATTTATTAATTTTTGAGAGAGCCTAATTGGCCAATGCAGTTCAATATCTGGCAACTATATGTCTGGTCGCTTTCCAGCTGACTTCATCCGAAAATGCACCCAACTATATTTACTGTAAGTTCTACATATTAAGTTATCTCATAGAGACATTGACAGTTAAAACAAAATGAATTGTCAAAGTTGATATTAATGATAGTGTACATCTGAATTTAATATTACTCTGCACTGCTCACAGGTCAATTTTGGGAAACAATTTTGAAGGGAGTCTACCTGCAGAACTTTTTAATTACTCCCGTCTTGAGTATTTGTAAGTACACCGTCCCCTTCTGTTTCATTAACCCACTTTTTCAGAAACAAAGGAAAACGAAAAAAGAAAAATCAGCAGCTCTGTTTTCGTGATGAATTTTTTGTGTCCATTTTGCAGAACGATCAGTGACGTAGCAAACTCTGGTTTCCAATTCCCACGATTTGCAAACCTGAGCAATATATACACTCTGTAAATGGTTTTTATTGCATGTCGCACACATCTATTCCTTTTTTAAGAGGTTTAATACAAAAACATGTACAGGGCAAAGAGTTGAATTAATTCATGTTCACTGGCCAGATTTAAACTTCTAACAAGCTTTATTTTGCTCTGCAAGAGTCTTTGTGCTGGGACAAACCCCAACATGCCTTTAAGTTGCATAATTTCTTATGCAGTCAGCATCACTAGACGAAAACATCTCATGCTCATGATTTATCCACTCACTCACCTCTTCTCATGGTTTCTATAGGATATTAAGGAACTGTTCCATCACCGGTGAAATCCCTGAATACATTGGTAAAATGTCAAATTTAAAATACTTGTGAGTCTCTCTCTCTCTCTCTCTCTCACACACACACACACACACACAACACCTTCACAAGTCCCTAGATTAATGGTTTATGTTTATGCTTTTTACTGATTTGTTTCAATTCCTGCTTTTTAATGTACTTTGATACAATTCATCTCACAGACTAGCTAACTAAGTTCCCAAGTTGTTAATGCCTCTATGTATTCTTAACAGGGATTTGAGCTTTAACAATTTAACCGGACGAATCCCACATTCCATGAAAGGTTTAAATTTAACTCACTTGTAAGTGAATGAAATTCGTGTGTTTTTGCTACACAAAAGACAACCGAACTCTTGTTGATGTTAGTATTCTATTATTAACTTTCTATCTCCTCAGGTCCTTGGCAAAAAATAAACTTAATGACACAATCCCTGATTGGGTTGGTGAAGTCAAGACTAGATTGTAAGCTTCTATATTCAAATTCTTAAACTATGTACACCTATTTTTATCTTCAAGTAAGTCCGAAAGCTTGGTATCTTGATAATTGATCTTTATTTCTTAAACAATGATTGTCCGAAAGCTTAGTATCTCATAATTTCCTTTAACACCTTTGGGATTAAAGTAAGACCAGTTTAAAGATGTTTATGACTCAAGTTCACTAAGTGGAACTTTAACTTCTGAGATTTCTTAGAATTAGGATCGTTGCTTTTTGAACCTGCAATTGATGGCAAATCAAATATACTGGATTGACCTTCGGTTGGACGGAGTAAGTATCAGTCTGGTTGTTTACATGCGGTAGTAAACCTTGTGTGCGCATACATATATGAAAGAACCATGCAAATAAAAGGAAACTATTTAGGAAGTACTCTCTATAATGAGGAATTGTTGGTAGCATCGTAGTTATCTTTTTCAGTGACAGTTGTCAGTAGTAATGCTGGTTTCTTAAAGCCATTTGTTCACTCGATTAAGACCAAAATGGCGCTATTTGAATTATGTGTTAATTTCGAGCTGATATTTGAGTGTCTTCTTAATTTCAATCATATCAATGCAATTAAATATTTATATGAATAGTTGTTGTGAAATGATCATTCTACAAAAAGGTTCAGGCAGTAATTTAGATAGTAAAAAACTTCCTTCATCAGACAGCTACTTAGATTTGACAACGGAATGCTTAATTGTATGGAAAAGAAAAATCTTTATCTAAGCCACCATCATTTTCTAGGAGCGTATTATGTTCCCACATTCCATTAGCTATGAAATTTGACCATATGTCTTTTCAGGGATTTGTCGTACAATAACTTTTCCGAAGTTAGCTTCGTAGTGCCAGACGATAAGCGAGATCATCTGTAAGAATTGGCATTAATTTTCTTTTTCTATTGTTACCAATCTAGTTGCATGTGGAATTATGATGAGATCATTTTCCATACATTTCAGGAACTTGTTTTCCTGCTGCAGCAGTTCAACCGATCCAGATCAACTATTTGTGTATGTTAATATTTTTATCTGTTCTAGTATAAGAAAAGCCAAGGGCCATTTCTTACAAATTCGGTGGTTTATTCAGGGATCCAAAGAAACGCATGCATACGCATTGTCCTGGACGAAAATCTAAATGTGAGTTTGGTTGGTTCTTCAGACATGTATGCAATCACACATAACTTTACCTAAAGGACTGAAAATTGGCAATAGAATATGTAAAACTGTAAATATTAAAATATAAAAAAACAGCACCGTTAAATACTTCAACAATAATTTTGACACGTATATGATTTTGTCTGGTGAGGAAGAAGTTTGTAATAGTTTTATTATTCTTCCAAGGGATGAATTTTGTAAATGGTAGTCACAGTGTAAAACTTGGTTGATGAGTAACGTCTCATTTTAGGTCAATTTTATTGTTCTTTCATTTTATTAACGTCTTATTTTGCACTTTATTTTATCTAATTTATCCCTTTCTGACTAACATTTGCAGCTCGTTCCTTGTTTATAAATTGTGGTGGTGAGGGAGTAAATTTTGGTGACAAATATTATGAAGCAGATAACTCAACTTCATTCTATTATATTAGTCCATCCAAAACCTGGGGTTATAGCCTTTCTGGAGACTTCTTATCACCGGAGTCCAATCCTAGTAATTTCATACAGAACCAGTCATTTGGAATTCATGTTCCTGAGGCAGACTTATATTCAGATGCTCGGATTGCCCCTGTCTTCCTAAGTTATTATGCTTGCTTACACAAAGGCAAATATAATGTGACCCTTCACTTTGCTGAAATGGTATTCAGGGAGAAGGAATCGTATAGTATACTAAAAAGACGGGCATTTGATGTTTATATCCAGGTAAATTGAGTATTGCTATTTGTACCATCAACTGAAATCTTGTGTACCATCATTAGAATAGAGGTGTGACCCATATATTAGAGCATTTGATGTTCCTGCACATATTTACTGTCTGCCAGTGTTAAAAGAAGCGTTTGTTGTATAGGATGAGAGAAGGCTAATGAATTTCGACATCGCAAAAGAGGCAAAGGGTCCAGATGAACCTCAAATCAGACATTTCGAAGCTAATATTAATGATAGTGTATTGGAGATTTCCTTCTACTGGGCTGGAAAGGGATGTGCAGACGTCCCACCTACTTTGAATGGACCTCTCATTTCTGCTATTTCCGTAACTCCAGGTGATTCAAGAGGCTATGACTTTAGTTTCTTCTGGTTGGTTCCAAGCTACACTTGAACCCCTTGGCTTATATGGTCATCATGCAGGCAGGCAGTTTTCATTTCAGTTAATTAGTTTAATCTTGTTAGACTGCATATATACTTAATTAATTTGACAATCTTTTAAAGAAGTTTGACTTTTCTCTTGACTTTTCTCTTGAAGTTCCCCAACACTCTGCATTGTGGCGAAAATTGAAGAAAGCATTGATTATTACTCTACCTTCAAGTGTAGTTGTTCTATTGCTTCTATTAGCTTTCGTGTGGAAAATGGGCTGGCTGGGGAAAAGAGATTTGAGAGGTGAGTGAAGCTACAACTATACCGCACCATGCCCTTTTTCAAGAATTCTTATTTCCTAGTTAACATGTCATCTTTAATTTTTCCCGAAACAGAAATACAGATAGGCCAAGATAAACATGTTACCCTTCAAGAATTAATAGGTGCAACTCGAAAGTTTAGCAGCAAAATGGAGATCGGTAGAGGGCATTTTGGAAGGGTTTATAAGGTATACTTTTACATTGTGAACTTAATTTGTGGTAGAAATTTGATATTAGGGTGGGGTATCTTTTGAATGTTGCAAATTTGTTCAGATATATAACATTAGTCTATTGTGTTGATGCAGGCTGAACTGGAAGGTGGTCAAACTACTGTAGCTGTTAAAAGACTTTCTACTCACTCAAAAGAAAATATTGAGGAATTATTAAATGAATTCTATACCTTAAAATCATTGAGGCATGAGAACCTTGTTCAAGTGTTGGATGCTTATTTTGGAGAAGGGTTACATTTGCTCATCTATGAATATATGCCAAACCTGTCCATTGCAGACGCTTTTTTTGGTAATTCATCTTTTCTCCTCCCTTTTCTAATTCTTCAAATTGCTTTATTCTATATTCTATGAGCAGTATACTTCCTCCTTTTGTGTACAAAATAGAGATTCTTAATTCATTTTAGCTTAGCCAACATTTTCCTCTTCATACCGTGTATTGCTTTTATATTGAGAAATAAGATCTGGTACTCACTCATCATTGAAATACCATCGAAATATCATTAGGTGACGTATACCAGACGTCGTCTTTTGAGAAAACTTTCCATGACCCTCCATTCGACGACACATGTTATGATGCTTGCCCCGCGTCCTTAAATGCCTTTTATGACTCAAATCAGGTGTCATGAAAGGGTTTTTCTGTTGTAGTGACTTGTGTTTTCTGTGCTGAAGTGTTTATGACAAAAACAAAGTCGTTTGGTTTAGACTAAACTGGAGGAATATATACATAGAATGCTAAAGTGGTCATTCATGTGACTTGCAGGCTCGAAGTCCAGATTGAAGTTTAATTGGGAAACTAGATTTAACATTTGCCTGGGAATAGCGAGGGGTTTAGAGCATCTTCATGAGCACCCTAGACTCAAGATGGTTCATAGGGATATCAAAGCTGAAAATATCCTTCTTGATGGAGCTCTTAATGCTAAGATCTCAGACTTTGGAATGGCAAGCCTGTACACCGAGGAAGAACAACTTATGATCATCAAAGTGGAAGCACCAAAGTAAGTGTACAAAAAACAAATACCTTTCGCTTTCTGAAACACTGGATAAAATAATACCATGAAATTCAACTTATACTATGACGGGTGCATTATGCAAATATAATTTGAATTTGTGCTTTATTGTTGTTGACGCAGCGGACATATGGCACCTGAGTATGCAATTCAAGGAATTGTAACAAGCAAAGTTGATGTTTACAGTTTTGGGGTGGTTATACTCGAAATTGTTAGTGGGAAGAAAAATGCAGGATACAAATTTAACCATGAGAGTGAGTATCTCTTGGACATGGTAAGCAAAACTGACAGGATGTACGTTGTTTTGTAATTTCTCCTACTTTAAAGTGAACATGCACACTTTGAATTCAAAACCCTCATCATTTTACTGCAGGCTTATGTCGCAAATAAAAATGGAAGCCTCGTGGACTTGGTGGATAAAAATTTGTCTGGCATTTATGATGCAAAACAAGCCATCACCATCTTAACCTTGGCCGTGATGTGCACGAATATATCTCCTACTCTAAGGCCAAGAATGGCAGACATTGTGAGTATTCTTGTTGGTGAGAAAACCTTTGAGCAGATTAATCCGCCTACTGTGGAAGATCATCAGCTTAATGTAGCCATGGCTCGTGACGAATGTACCAAAGCTGATTCCTCTACTTCCACAGACGTGACCTCAAGGGCATCAACTTCAACTAAATTAATCAAGGGGATAGATGAAACACAAAATTCTTCTGCAGAAACCTGTCTCGAAATATTGGAAGAAAGTCAGACCTCGCATTAAACATGAGTCCTATTTGGATTGTGTGAGAGAAGTTACAGTCAGTTTGGTTTATGTTAGATCTATTTAAAATTGTTAGGGTACGTCTTTATGGTTTCAATTGTTTTCTATTTAAAGCGTTGTATTGTATTTTCTGCATTTGTAGTTTTTTGATGGCAACATTAACATAATTTAACAGTAGGATCAATGGAGCGATTAATATAAAGTTGACGGACCATTTGAATGAATAATTTAATTGAGGGACCAAAATGTAAATCGGATATAAATTTGAGGACCATTTGAGTAATTTACCCATATTTACTAGTAAAACCCCCTCCCATCACTAAAAAAACAAAAATAAAAACAAAAATGATAGTAACGTGGTGAAATGGCATCATTGTCATTTCCTCACACTTCAGGGGCAAAATAATCCAAACCGCTTCCCTTTCCCAGATGCCCGTAGAGGCCAGTGACATAGAAGCAGCACTACCAGAACGTATATGGCGGTGAACTATTGGTGTACTATATATATGGTTGGAGAATTGTGAATAACGAATTCTATCAACTACATGTTGTGAAGGAAGCAATTGGACCAGACTATGCTGTGAGAGCAGTCACTTGATAATATGTAAATGCTCAAATCTATTCTCTTAATTGACATTTTACTTGTAACTCTGGCTACCCAAAATGAGATTTGTGTTCATAATAACATCTTCTCATACTTGGACAAGGGTTCATGACTTTCCTTTATTGCCTTTTGCAGCAATGAGAAGGATGTTGATTCTCAGAGGCTGGCCGTTTTCTGCTGGTAAAATGTAAACAAGAACAAGCAGGTAATTATGACCTTCATCTGTTGATCAATTCAATTAATTTTTCTTTTGATGGTCATATGAGGAACCCCATATCATGACCATATTGTCTGTATTTGATGAGTATCAGAGATAAGATATTCAAATAACATGCATACAATTTATAAATGGTTATTTTGTTGTTTTCTATGACTGTTAACTGAAAGAGTCATTATGCCGAATTACGGATCTCAATTAGATTGCAGATTTGGGGTTTTTGTTTTAGGTAAAGAAATTATATCATTCAACAAAACGACAGTGTATATTAGAATTATGTGGTTAATTTGCAAGATTTAGCTGAACCCTCACAATCCAATAGACTTTTGATCTAAATTGGCCGTGTCATTGAAACTTGTACTCATCCATCCCCCAACAAATAATTTTTTTTTTTCTTCATATTTCTCTTTTGATCTTGACACTTGTATTGATTTTCATTTCTTTGTACTATTCATTTTAACTTGATAATTCTGGTAACAATATAGTTCCTTTTTAAATGAGTGGCAATGTATCCTGACTAAAATATACTAGTCATATGCTAGTGTTTGGAGCCAAGCTATAGACTTATGCTATTTTTGTTCCATTTTCTTACTTTTATGTATGCCAAAATTTCCTTAGGTGTTTGTGTGCGCTTGCTTTTTTTTATTTTTTATTTTATCCTTTATTTGTGCCCACTTTATGTACACATTTAATTCTATATTTGTTCTGTTTTTATGTTTGATCTTTCAGTTGCTTGTAGGGCCCTCTATGGGCTAAGAATGAAATTTCCCAACTGAGAAGAAAATTTGACTCTCGCGTAGGTACTACATGATATTACACTACTACAAAAAACACTTTGCGCGACGAAATAATTTAGTTGCGCAAAGTACAATTTCGTCGCTCAAACTTTGCGCGACGAAATTTTGGTCGCGCAAGTTCTGTCGCGCAAAGATCGTAAAGAAAGGTTTTGCGCGACGAAATTTTTTTTTTGTCTCGCAAAGATACTTTGCGCGACGAACGATAACAACTTTGCGCGACGAATACTAACGTCGCTCAAAGATACTTTGCGCGACGAATTATAACTACTTTGCGCAACGAATACTATCGACTTTGCACGACGAATATTAATTACTTTGCGCGACGAATAATATTATTTTGCCCGACGAAAGTTAATGTCGCGCAAATCTTTGCGCGACGAATCCTAATGTCGCACAAATCTTTGCGCGACGAAATATTCAATTTTTTTTTAAATTTTGTTTTTTTAAAATTTTTAATTAAAATAAACTAGTTTAATAGTTTGCTCAACGAAATATTTTGTCACCCAAGGTTTTTGACATTTTGTTTTATTATTTCTCTTATATCAATTTCATTATATTAATTTTCCAAATTTTTACTTTTTAAATTTAATTTAATTGTATGATTTTATTTTTTTTTAATTACTTTAATTTAAATTGAAATATTCAAAATAAAATTACATATGAAAAATAGTGGTCAAATTATCCAATATATATAATATTCAATGATGTACACAAAAATTAACAAAGTACAATAATAAAATCTACAAGCCTATTGTAGTGATAGTGGCGGAGGATATGTTTCGATAGCGTCCAAATCCTCAACTTTAGCCGTCAAAGTCTCGACGATTCCCTACAAAAAAAAAAACAAATATTGTCAAATAACAACAAAATAACAAAAAATTGGAATAAACTCAAAACTAACTCCAAAAACACATATTAATGAAGAAAAAAAATTAAAGTTTGGAGAGAATATACCTTTTGGCAAGATTTTGAGTGAGTGAGAATGAGAGGGAGAAGTGAGTGTGAGACAATTAGAGAAGATAGTGAGAGAGAGATGAAAGAGTGAGTGAG